TGCACATTATTGTTTCTTAACATACCTTGACATTTCTCCTTTTGACTATCCTATTCCATTCAAATAAGTTATACTCTTCAAGAATGATATTACATGTATGAGTCATCCAAAGTTTCAAACCCCTCATTTCACAGTTGACAGAACTAATACTCAGAAAAATGAAATGATTTATCTAAGCTCACATTTGCTCAATTTCAATATTTTTTTCCCTACACATTTCTATTCTCTAATATCTGTTGTTTCGGATAGTTAATCCTGTAGGATGCAATACCCCCATTAATCTAATGATAAAAAATAAGACATGTTAGGAGTTATTTGGGTGAAAGTTTGAAGGTCAAACTATCCAAGTACCTTAAGCATTGCTCACACTTGTGAAATATAGTCTCATGCCATGTAACTTTATAAATTATCTAAAAACTTGGAACAATTCACATAAAATGTGAGTCTGACCCAAATATAAAATTATGGACATAATTTTTAATATTTCAACATATTTCAGGACATGTATGATTCTGTAATCTCATTGAAATAAGCACATCTTCTGGTCACCCCTTCTTATCCTATGTGATTAATGTCCATGTCTTTCCATAAATATTCCATAAGTTATCTACCAAAGTTACTAGAGTCCTTCTGGCTCTTTTATGCCAATACAATTAAAATGAATTCATTTTAATCTATGGATGCACATCATATGAGGAACTTGAGATATTTAGCCTAGAGAAGAGGAGACTTACAAGGACCATGATGGTTGCCCTCATATATTTGAAGGGTTATAATATGAAGGCGGGGTTAGACTTCTTAACTTAGGCCCGCAGGGCAAAACTGTGAGCAATGAGTAGAAGTTGCAAAGAGATAAATTTAGGCTTAATATTAAAAAAAAACAAAAACCTTCCCAAGAATTAAAAAGATCGCAACATGGAAAAGGATGCCTTTAGGAGTGGTGAGTTTCCCATTCTTTGGAGGTCTTCAAGTAAAGGCTGTATGATCACTTGTTGGATATTATCAACTGAACAGATAATAAGAAAGTTAAAGGAGGCCACGTGGAAGACTTTCAAGAAGGTGAAGAGTGAAATTAAAGAATAGTAATTTGAGGAGATAGCAGGGTTAAGGAAAGGGATGTGTGTATATGTATGTGTGTGTTTAAGATGTGGGAGACCTATTTTGGGGAGCTAGATAGTACAGTAGAGTGCTAGACCTGGAGTTAGGAAGACTTGAGTTTGAATCTTGCCTCAGATCTTTACTAGCTATGTGATCCTGGGCTTAACTTCTCTAAGCCCCAAATTCTGTAAATAGGGATTAGCAACAGCATATAGCTCACAGGGGTTTTGTGAAGATCCCATGAGATAATATACTAAAGTGTGTTGCAAACCTTAAAGTGTTATATGGATATCATCATCATCAATCATCACCTGAGTTGTCTCTGAGTAGAAGGAAAAGCAGCACCATGGAGAAGGAAAGATTAATGATGCAAGAAAAAGATAGGGTTGTTTGTTTGATAAAATAAGGCCCCAGAGAAGGCAGGAGTGGATGGAATTAAGGGCAGAGGTAGAGTTAGGTGCCTTCTTATTATGAATGGATAGCAAGAGAATAAGCCTCCAGATGAACTCAAAGGATAAACTGAGCTTTGCAAATACAGAGGTTGGAAAAATTTCCAAGTCCACCCAATCAGATGAAAACTGATTCACACACGCACACACACATCTACTACATTTCCCATAGTAACATTCTGAGCTTCCCAATGCCATGTGCTTACATATACAAATGCATATGGTTCACCCACTCACAGTCAACTTCCCCTAACACAATCAGATCTAAGTAATTGTGCAAGCATAAACCCAGGTGTTCATATCTCCCATTTAGATCTATGACCTCCAAATCCTAATATCTAAAGCTATTTAACATAGTGTTGGAATTCTAGTGGATGCCATTTTGAGTAATCTTATGTTAATTTGATAACTTTACCTCATTTATTTTGGGGTCTTATAACTTCCTTTGTGTAGGGAACTCTCAGAGAACAAAGTTCTATTAGTGCAGATCAGCAACTGTTTTACAACTTATGGGCTTGGAGAGTTGCTAGAGTCACTAAAGGATTAAATGACTTGCCCAGGATCACACAGATAGTATGTTATATGTGGGATTTGAACCCAGGTCATCCTGGCTCTAGAGCCAGCTGTCTATTCACTGTGCCATGCTCTTTCTCTATCTCAGTCAGTGAATAAACATTTATTATGTGCCTACTAATGTGCCAGGCACTATGCTAAGCTCCAGTGACACAAAGAAAGGCAAAAGACAGACCCTGCTTTCAAGGAGCCCACGGTCTAGTGGGAAAGACAACAGATAAATAACTATGTATAAACAAGATAATTACAGGATAAATTGGAGGTAATCAACAGAGAGAAGGCAATAGTATTAAGGGGGATCAAGAAAGACTTCATGAGGAAAATGGATTTTTAGCTGAGATCAAATGAAATTAGTATTTGTACAGAATTTAGCACAGTGCCTGGCATATACCAGGTACTTAATAAATGCCTATTCCTTTCCTCTTCCATATGTGTATGTGTGTTGCTAAATTTCTAAATCAGAGGAAAGTCAAGTTTAGGGCTTGCAGTGATTTTGTTTTCACATGTTGTTGTGAACAATGTCAAAAATACAGTGACTAATTTTTAACAATCTAACATTGCCTAATTTTGCACTGTGAATAGCACCAAATAGTCTAATTTTGTTCTTCTGAATATTATTTATCTAGCAAGAGTTTAAAATATTCTTTAAGTATCATCAAAACATTGGTACCATAAGAACTCATGAGGAACACAGGTAGCCAGATTCATAATGGAGCTCATATTTGTATAGCACTTTAGGGTTTACAAAATTCTTTCCATACAAAGTACATGGTATACTTTGTGAACTACATTTATGTAAACAATCATTATGTTCATGGTATATAGATTAATGTAGTGATGTGGCACTGGGCTCAGAGTCAGGAAGACCAGAGTTCAAATCCCTTCCTAGATACTAAATATAACTGTGTGACCCTGGAACAAGTCATTTTACCTCTGTGCTTCAGTTTCCTTGTTTGTAGTTTTTTTGTTTTTGTTTTTTGTTTTTTATGACGGGATTGGACTCAATGACCTACGAGGGCCCTTCAAGCTTTAAATCTATGGTCTTATGAACTAATGATTCTCACAACAACCCTGTAATGTAGGTGCTATTTTATATTTTGCATATCAAAGATGAGGAAACCTTGTCTCAGCTAGGTTAAGTGACCCAGGTTCACAAAGCTAGTTGGTGTACAGTCAAGAAAAGAACCCAAGTCTCTTCATTCCTAATCCAATGAATGCACTTTCCACTATATCACGTAGCCAATGAACTACTCAGCAATAAGGAGCAAAATTTGCAAGTATCAAAGCACTAAGAAAACACAAAAACCTATGTGGGAATTCTGAACTATAGAACTGGTCTTGAGAAAACATTTTGTATTATTTTGTTATTATTATGAAAAAAGAATAGGAATTTTTTTAAAAAAGAAAAATACTTAAAGACATCTAGACTATTGAAGGATTAAGTAAGGAATGTGGTTAGAACTGGGACAAGGTATTTATGTACACCAGCACAAGCAGGCAAGATTTGAAAATTAAAACCCCTATGTAGAACTTGAGAGACCTGTGGTGATAGAGGAGCAATCCTTGGAGTCAGGAAGACCTAGGTTTAAATCATTCCTCTGACACATACTATGTGACCTTGGACAAGTCACTTAACCTCTTAGTTCCGGGACAATTCTTTTAAAGCCATAAGTTGTTCACAAGATTTGTAGATCTTCACATCTCTATTGGTAGAAGGAATTTCCACACTGGGAGTTCCTGACACCAATGAACGCATAGGTTCAACAAAAATAAAACAAATCAAAACCCCCAAAGTAAAGCCTAGTAGAACTATGATGTATGATTCTGTGAACTGAAACTTGTTGACTTCACTGTTTATGGAATAAATCATACTTTACCACAGAAAGTCACATTTTTAATGTTAAAAATATGTTATTATAAAAAGCCATATTTAAAAGTTAAGTCCCTTATGACATACCTTCCCACTTCATATGGCCCTTGAGGCAGCTGATGCACCTGCCTTACCTACTCCTATTCCTAACTCTGAAACCATCAGCGTTGAGTTCAGAGTGAAAACACTTCAGATGCTGGTATGCTAAAGTGAAAAGTAGTCTGCTGTGACTGTCAGATTTTGAGTTTAAAAAACAAACTATAATTCAAACAAAGAAAGAAACAAAAACTGTACTGAGTGAATCTCCTAAGATTCCTAAAACATGTCCTCTGGCATTGTTGGCTCCTTTCTTCTTCCATTCCTCTAACCTAGATCATAGGATCATACATTTCAATGTAGAAGGGACCTTAAATGTCATCTTCATTTTACAGGAGAGGAAACTGAAGCCCTGGAGCTTTCTCTCTTTAGAGAGAATCTTGCAAGAATCTTGCTGTTTAAGCAGAATTACTATACTAATATTGTTGTTCTCCAAAATACATGAGTATGTTGCACTGGTTAATGTTGATATTCATAGTAGAGTGTTGTAGATTAAGAGCTGTAAGTGACCATAGGGAACATCAAATCAAGTATCTCCATTTTACACATGTACAATAATCAAAGTAGAATAACAGGCAATAGGTGAATTCTGCTGTTCTGGAAGAACAAGAGCCTCAAGTCTTGATTCACTTTTCTTATCAAAGACCTCACCTTTCAGGGCATTGTGTTTCATATTCTTCACCAACTGAATTCATCTTTGTACCTGAAAAAGTTTTCATGAGAAAAAATAAAAGTAGTAAGGCAAAAGGTCAAGAATCTGCAAGGGCTTTTTGTCAGAATTTTATGTAGAACTTAAGGAATTACATTTCAACCAAAAAGGAAAAAAAACTAACAGTTTTCAATTCCTGTATTCCAGATAATGGGATGATAAAATATTTGTTGCTCTTCTTTGTTTTTGTTTTTAATCACAACAGGTATAGAAAACGATGAAGAAATCAAACAGTTAGATGAAGAAATCAAGGAGCTAAATGAATCCAATTCCCAGATGGAAGCAGATATGATTAAGCTCAGAACTCAGGTAACAGTTTTTCGAAGCCCTAAATTTCAGTCACATCTCTCCATTCTCACTCCCCAAACATATAAGGATCACTAAGTTGTGAAAAGGTAAATGTTTATTGCTTTAAAAAAAAACCCTAATTCCTCATCTTCTTAAATTTACTTTAACACTGCACAACCTCCAGCCCTCTGGCCTCTTGCAGCATGCCCAAGGATTTTCTCTACATACAAAGGATGTTTTCCTGTACATTTTTTGAGGTTGGTGGGAAATCCTTTCTCCTGCTCAAGTGGGCTCCAGGAGACACAGGTTGTGCAGGCCTGCTTTAACATTGTTTTATTGAGATTGAGCTAGCTTTGAAATTTTTTTGTTTTGAAGTTTGATACAACCCAATGTTCATCATTTTTTTTTTCCCAAAGAAAACTCATTTGTGAAGTTATTTCCAGAAGATCCCCAGTTTTTTTTTTCCTTTCCTCCTACTTTAGGACATTGTTATGTATTAAACTCTGATTAGAATATCCACCATTATCATCTCAGGGTGACCCACTTGCTCATCAAAGTTTCACCAGTATGGAAGTGCCTTAGTTGCAATCACTCTCAAGGTGACATGTGATTGCCCAGAATTCCTCATAGAAAGATGACTATGATGTGGCATTGAAAGGGGCACTGACATAATTCTGGGGCTGGATGTGATCTAATGGATAGTCTAAGATAAAATATAATTATTGGCAAAGCAGCCCACTTCATTTTGGTAACTCAGATAAGGCACAGCAAAATGTTTACTCTACCAGTTATCCCCCAAATCCTAGCTTTAGACCCAGTCTCACCCAAAGAGGACATATTTTCCAATAATAGATGGCACTGGAGAATATTCTTAGATGATGGTTCACCTTAGTGGAAATGGATCCAGAGAAATGTTAATGCACTCTAAAGAGTAGGCTAAAAGACTCATGTCCTTCTGTACACATTGGGGAGCTGTTCTACTGACTGACATTTCCCAGGGGCTTTCTGGAGTGAACGATAAGTGAATAAAAATCTGTTGCACAAGACTCTGAGGTTTTGGGTGCAGATTCAGAGCAATACCTGTCCAGGAGCTATTCTTGGGGTAACCCTGCTACAACCATTCTTAAATACTGGTCTGTGAGCTCTGAACTCCTTGCCAGATAGAAGGAAGCTCTGAAATAAATTGGGGATTTTCTTAACACTTCCTTGTACTTTGGGTGTTATTTCTGAGGCCCTTCTTTTGGCCAATAATCAGACTTATGGAAATAGTTATGTCTGTAACTCCATGAAGAAAGCAGACTAAGCTCTATGAGCTGTAGCAATACAGCAAGCTCCCCAACCATTTAAAAGTATTTCTGCCCAAATGAGATCTGGTTGGATAAAATAGGTCTCCCAACCCCTGCCTTTGTAATTTTCCACAACACCCTATTAGAAAACCAGTGTTCATTTTGATGCAGTTTTGAGGGTTTCAGGGGCCCCTCAAAGACCAAGGTACAGGACAGAGTAGTGTGGAAAGAATTCATGGACTCAAGCAATCTTTAAGTGAAGTTGTCAAAAGTTTATTGTAACACTCTTCAGCGGACAAGAGTTCTTAAGGAGGCTGCACTTTTGTTATCTACTGCATATCCATTTTACCCAGAATTCACCAGGAAAAGTCCATGGTTGGGGGCGGAAGGTGTGATTTTTAGGTCTGCTACATCACTAAGTTAACTAGTGGTCAGGGCTGTCCAAGGGCTGACCGGTCTGTTACCAGTCAATGTCCTGTTTGACAAGATAGATGTAGGGAGTATAGTATGTCTTGAGTCTAGGATGCATATAATGAGGTAGGGAGTTGGTGTGCAGTAGACCAGTCAGTACCAGATATCTTTATGAGCCAGTACAAAGCCAGTATAAACTAATAATTCTTACAAGTCAGCTTGTTACTGTACCAGAGAGAGAGATAAGTGTTTCACTAGGGCCCACTCATGAGTAATTTCTAGGGATAGTGTCCTTGGGCTGGGGAGAAACTGCCAAAGACAGTGTTTCTTGAGGCTAGGGAGAAATATGGTTTTGGGATTGGGGTCTGAGCACAAGCACCCAAGCACTCCATCAATTTCACTCTATTTTTTACTATTTCGTAGCATCACATAATATGAAAATTAGAAAGGCCTCGGAGGTGACCTAGTTTGACCAGTACTTGGTCAGGAATCTAACCAGGCACCATATAACCTTGGCTTGAAGACTTTCCAGTAAAGTGAAACCCACTCCCTCTCAAGGCCACCCATTCCACATATAGATATCTATAATTGTTAGGTTTGCTGTGTGTTTACATCTTTGCAACTTTCACTCAAGGCTCCTAGTTTTGTCCTCTAAAGTCAAACTGAACAAATTCAATCTCTCTTGAACATAATAATCCTTCAGATGCTTGAGGAAAACTGCTATTAAACACACCCTTCTTCCCCCAACCCTTAAATATTGTTAGTAGTTTGACCTCAGCAAAAATGAATATTAAGCCTAACATATCTTTAAATACAATTTCTTCATGAGGTATTTGTTATTTCATGAGATTACGTGGTTTGCTAAAACAACCTAAGGGCTAATTGTACACAATGAATTTCCTTTGCATGTCCTGTTATTAGAACTTAGAATCAATTCTGTCTTCAGTGTTCGTCTTCTACCAGCTCATTTTGTATTTTTGGCATCTGAGGGAAATAGTTGCTTGGGATAAGCAACTATTTTCATCTGATATCAAAAATGAATTTTAAGGGTTAATGTTTATTCATAGTTACTGACTTGTCTTATGAATAATCTGATCCAAATAAGGCTCTTCAAATGACTCTGGAATAGGGTTTTCTCTCATACATCCTTCATTTGGCTTTGGGAAGAAAACCAATACTTTGAAAGTGAGGCTGTAACACAAAATTGGGATCCATTGCAAAACACTATACGTAACCCAGCTCTGGCACAAATAACCCTTTGCAAAAGGCCAGGGAAGAATACACAAGGGCTTATACAACCATCATTAAAAAGGAAGACAGTTGTTTTTTTTAATTAATTCATCATTTCAGGCATAGCGATTCAAGGTCAGGCTGCATCAAACACATGGATAAGAGATATCCAGACTGCCTCTGTTTCAGCTGATGTTTTCTTGAGGGCACAAGATGGTCTTTTGCTGTTCTTTGTAATCTCAGTGCTTAGCAGAGGTCCTGGCAAATAGTTGCTGCTTAATAAATGCTAGTTGACTCACTGTGGTCAAACATCTTGGACCTGTGTACAAAGCTCATCAATCAGGAAATATCCTGGTCTGTTGTTGTTGTTTTTTTCCCCGAGAGTTACATTCCTTTTTCTTACATATTTGTTTTATCAAATTGCCCAGTCAGTGATTAAAACACACCAAGTGATACCTTCCATTTTTCGTCTTACCTTCCAGGTTTATAGATTCATACCGTTTATTCTGATTCCTACTCTTATTTCTCTGTTTATTCTCTGACATGGGGCTATGGGTCAGGGAATCATTGGACATTAGTACTAAGCCGTGAATGTATAGTCAGGGAGTTCAGCCCAAGCCCAGCTCTATTACTTTCCTTTTTGAAAGGATTTCAGATTCCTTATCTTATAAAATTACTAAATGACCTCAAAGGTCCCTCTCCAACTTAAAATCTATGACACCTTAAGATGCTCTTTTATTAATTATAGCTCAAAACCAACTGTTGTAAAATTGCAGGTTGGTTTTATTCAGTAACCGTTTCTAAGAATTCATGTTTATGTGGTAGAGATAAGAGGCTGAGGTTTTAGTATTTTGGTTGGAAGGAAGCCAAAGTTCAAGGATTAGATGACAGCTAGGTATATTACAGAAACTGTGGTAGATTCTGAGTTTTCAAGCATCTATTCTGGATATCATCATGTGCCATTTTGCCATAGAAGAATGGGATATTTCTAAACTATGAAAAGCTAAATTCCTGTCACTTATAAGCTCTTCCATCACAGCCAGTAGCCTGGAGCTCCCAGTATATTTTTGTGCTAGCTACACATTTAGTCAACAGAGGGAACCCTGAAAACTCCTGAGGCCTTATGAGCATTTATGTAGCACTTTAAGGTTTATAAATCACTTTATATATATTAGCTTATTTGACCCTCACACCTTGTGAAGTAGATATTTTTTTTAGCCCAATTTTGCAGATGAAGAAACTGGGGCAGACAAAGGTTAAATGACTTTCCCAGAGTCACACAGTTAGTGAGTGACTGAAACAGAATTTTAACTCAGGTCTTCCTGACTCCAAGTTCTGTGGTCTATCCACTGCACTACTTAGATGTCCCTGAACTGTAGCCTCAAGAAATCAGTATACAACCACACCAAACAGTAATAGGAAGGCAGACCTGAGGAAAATTATAAGCAAACTCCTTGGGGTTGTTTGTTATACCGCTGAAATAATCATTGATTCTGTGTCTTTTTTCTTTAATTGATGCTATTTACAGTTAATTGATTTTGTCCTGTAACTGCCTAAGTCATGATTCTTTGTCTCTGAACTTAATTCAGAAATGAGCTGGCCTATAATGAGTTAAATTTACAAATACAGTTCTCCTGTTAATCACTGTTCTATTCTTGTGTCAAGGAAATCTGTTACCTTTAAAGAATTCAGATGGACACCAGGGAGTCTGGTTTAGTATCTATTCTACCGAGCTATCTTTCAAGAATATCTGGTTTGTTATATAAAGAAGTCTGGTGTGCTATCTCTGTCCTTGCAGATGCAGCTGGACTTGAACAATAAACATTTCTTAGTCACAGGAGGAAAGGAGGGGGTTGTTGCTAGCCCTCATTCCTAATTTCTATACAATCGTATTTTTTTCCATCTATGATGCTAGCTTTCCTATTTTCTGTTCTCCCCAAAACTAAAAAAGAGAGCTGCTCCCCTCATTCGTGATCTTAGCTTTGTTGGGGAAGCCGAGATCCTGTTTACTGGTAAATTTGCACTTTACTAATAAATTGATCATGCTCAGAACTTTGTGCCTCAGCCTACCTTTATTTTAACTGTTATACCACTAAGAAAGATGGGGGGGGGGTTTCTGCGGGAATGGGATCCTCAAACAGATTTCTTCAAAATATAATTAAGATAAAAGATAAAACTAGTCCCCAAAGTTTTATTTTGTGGATTTTTTTTAATGGAGAAGCATTGTAGTTGAAGAAGAAGAAGAAAATACCAAGCTTTCAATTGGACGTTCATTAACTTCTGGTGAGGTCCTCTCAATAACCTGTTCTTCATAACCTCTACTTCACCCTAATGTTGGAGAGGCAGTGTGGTCAAGTAGATCAAGTGCTGGACTGGGCGTCAGGAAGACAGGGTTCTAATGCTGGTTTGATGCTGCTTACTAGCTATGTGACTCTGAGGAAGTCGCTTCACCTCTGGAGGAGCATCAATATCCTCATCTGTCAAGTAGAGATGATAATAGTACCTACTTCAAAAAGGTGGTTGTGAGGATCAAATGAGTTAATATATATTAAGTGCTACAAATCTCAGCTATTTTTCTTATGCTGCCTAGAGGCAACCAATCCATAAGTACTCATCAATCTTATTAAGTGCTAAAGTTACGTATGGAACTCAGTATTCTATTACCAACACTGTCTTAGGCACCTGTGAGTACACAAAAGAAGTGCAAAAAATAGTCCATACCCAAAAGGAGTTTATAACTCTGTCGTAGAAGCAAAGAACAAGATGTGATCATTCCTCAGAATAATAACAGAATGGGTAGTAGATTAGAGGACAGGCTTGGAGCCAAGAAGACCTGGGTTTGAGATCTTACTTTTATAATAAGCACTTAGCATGGAGCCTGGCACATAGTAGATACAGTATAAATGTTTATCCACTTCCCTTCCCCCTGTGTGACCATGGGCAAGTTACTTAACTTCTTAGGGCTCCCAAACAATACTCTGAGACTATAAGATACATGTAAGGTGCTGTTTTGCATTGGTGATAAGAGTTTCCACATTAGTATTTTCTAACATTAATGTCCAAACAAAATAAGATCAATAACAACATATGTATCTAGTGCTTTAAGGTTTTAAAAGGTTCTCCCAAAACAACTCAGTGGATAATACAACCATAAGCATTACCTCTGTTTTTAAGAAAACTGAGATTCAGGGAAGTTAGATGAATTGCCAAAGCTCACCCAACTAGTTAAGGGTTAAACCTGGAATGTGAGTACAGGTCTCCTGATCCCAGGCCTAATGTTCTTTCTGATGAAACATAGGACAGTATGTGATCAAAAGTGTGTGTTCGGGATTACATTATTAAGAGATCAGGGCAATAAGAGATCCAGTCAAGGTTGACTTTGGGGAGGAAAAGGGAACCAAGAAGTACCTGGAAGGACTTGATAGGATTTGAATATGTGGAAAGAATATTGCAGCCATAAATAATTCACATGTTTGGGTGTCTGAATTAGACTTCCACTGTCTAATTGGTACTGATGGTGCCAATTTATGCAAACACAACTGACTTTTTTTAAAGGTCTCCATTCTACAAATTAATTGAATAGTTTCCAAAATTAATGGCACAAAGAACAGAGAGGGGGCAGCTGCTTAGGGAGGGTTTGGGGTTGGTAGATTGGAAGATATCTTTGTACTTCATGAAGTCCTAGAAACAAATATTCAAGATGAAGATGGCAGTAGTCTTTAGCAGATAATTGGTGGTATTCAGGACTAAATCACAAATGGATAGTATACTATTGCTGATGGTGTTATTTCAAAGTGAGGCTGACTTTAATATGCAACAGATTGAATTTAGGTAACACAGATTTTGAAGAATAAGGATAGAGAGCAATTTGTGGTTTCTAACCAGACTAGTAACTTTGAATAGGATTTTGTTTGTAAGTGCCAGAGATTAGGATTAGGGGAGGTGCAAAAATGGAATAGGATGAAAGAAAAACCCAAGAGATAAGAAAATGGAAGCACCAGTATAGTAGTAAAGGAAGCCAGAAGGAAAAGATTAAAAAAAAAAAAAGGAGAAAGACAAGAGGGCAGGGGAACACAAGGAGGGCTCAAGAGGAAAAACACAGAAATAAGAGCAGGAAAGGGGTCATATATAGAAGGGACAAATGGGAAATAGCAAACATGCACTATAATGATCAAAGATTTGCACATCATGCATTTTGGAGAATGGGGAACATAAATTATAGATCATAAGACCTAGAAAGGGACTTAGGAATCATACATACTAACATATATAGAAACTGAGGCTTAGAAATGTTAAGTGGTTTTCTCAGGATCACAACAGGAAATTAGTGAAAGATTCAGCTTTCAAAACAAGATCTTCTTTCTCAACATCGAGTGGCCTTTCCACTCAATTACTCTTTATTTCTACTTTATCATTATTTTATCTGCTGTTCTCCTAGCAGATGGGGTCCAATAGAAATAGCATTGGATTTGGAGTCAAAGGTTTGGGCTTCACATCCTGAGTCTTATATTTATTATCTGTTTGGTCCTGAAAAAATGAAGAGGTTGTACTAGATGTTGTCCAGAATTAAATCTATTTTTCCTAAAATCCTATTAAAGTAACGTTAGTGTCCAGGGAATAGTATGCCTCAGAGTACTGAGATCATAGTGTTTGGTAGGAGAACCAATGTGCAATAGCTTGGAGTTCAGAGACCATTGCATAATATTTGTAGAGAGTTGGGCCAATCCAGGGCCAAGATGGCAATGTTAATATCATAAGGACTAAAGTGTCTGAGGGTAGACTGAGGACATGTAGGAGCTAGGGACAAACAGAGAGCTGATGTTAGAATTGTCACAACATAAATGTCCTTATTTCACTCTGTATTAAACTTCTGTAAGATAACTGGACATAAAAAGAATGTTAAGTCATGAAAGGTTCTTTATAGAAACATTTGTTAGTTTAAATAAGTGGAAAAAAAAAAACCCTGATATCCCTCTAGCATTTTTCTAAGGACATAGGAAATCCAACAGAATTAAATTGGCAATTTTAGTATTCCATTTTAAATTTAAATTCAACCCAGAGGTATAAAGACAATAGCAGCTAACATGTAGAGAGTTTCCTAACTGATTATGTTAAACCCATGCCTGGGATGTAACATACTAAAACAAAACAAAACCCTCATTCATCTACAGTAATAGAAATTTGATAAATTTCCCCAATTTGCCTTATGAAATGACTTCCATAAAAAACAAGCCAAATCAAGTCAATTGACAGAACTCAGTCTTAAACAAACCCTTAAAATGTTACAGGTCTCTGCTCCCAACTTTGTGAATTTTTTTCTCCCCTTCCCTTATCCAACATTACTGTTTTCACTCGATTCAAAGAGTGTATGCGTCCTTTCAGCTTGCCTTATATTACA